TCACAGAGATCCGCCTGCCTCTGCCTCCCGAGTGCTGGTATTAAAGGTGTGCGCCACCAACCGCCTGGCTTTGTTTTTTTTTTTTTATTTATCATTTTTTATTTTAATTTTAAATAGTTTGTTTTACATGTCAATCCCAGTTCCCTCTCCCTCCCCTCCTCCCGCACTCCCCTTCCCCCCCACTCTCCCACCCTATTGCCAAATCCTTCCACATAGGGGATATCTAGAGTCTGTCATTTCACTCTGGGTAGGGTCCAGGCACTCCCCTAAGAATCCAGGCTGAGAGAGCATCCCTCTTTGTGTTATAGGCACACGATGACTGTTTGTATTCCAGGGATAGACACTGATCCACAGCTCAGGGCCCCATAGGTTGCCCAGGCCTTCTCGCTGACACTCACATTTGGGGGGTCCAGTGGTTTGTTTATTTTAAAGCTAGTTAGAAACAAGCCTAAGCTAAGGTCAATCATTTATAGTTAATAATGTGTCTCCATGTCATGATTTGGGGCTGGAAGTTCAAGGAAGCCTGCTTTAGTGAAGAACTGTAACAGGAGCCTCCAATTCTTTTCTGCATGTCTATATTATAAGGAGCAGACTGCCTGTTCACAATCATTTCCCATTAGCTTTTACACAGGAATAACTGCATGCCACACACTGATGTGCAGATCCCATACACATGTAACAGCCATAGGGATAAAATGTGGCTGTAAAAGTTTACTTTCAGCAACTTATTAAATACTATATATACCAACTATACAAATAAAATATAGTATATAAATGTTTATTGTTCAGGAACTAGAATAATAATATATTAGTAACTTTTGGTCTAAAACCATGTAATTCTTCATTCTCAAGTCTCTGCTAAGAGTGCTAAGGAACTTGCGCTATGTAACCTTAAGGCTCTTCTGGTGCCATTAGTGACCTCTTCAGAAAAGGCAGTTACTATACGAACATTGATGGATAGAGAATAGATTAGCCAGAACTTCATGGAAACACACTGTTGATTGCTACATCTCTATTCCAGATTCCAGATCTCTCTCCTTGCTCTCCCGCTCTATTTCTCTTCCTTCTACACCACTGCCTTGACAAAAGCTCAGGAACAATCTCTCAATGCTTGTCTGTTATCTTTCAAATACATGGATAAAGGGACTCCCCCTCCCTTCTTTTTCTTCTTTTCTTATAGCTTTTAAGTTGATAGGATTCCCTTTCTGATCCATTTTTTCCATGCTTCTCACACAGTGAGGGCATGCCAGTTTGAGATGCACTCATTCCCAATCAACACCATAACAATCAACAGTAAAATCCATTACTAAACTTCCTTTCTACACTAAGAGGAAATGGAATAGACAGTCTGCAACTCACACATCTACACTCCCTGAGCAGCAGTGGGAAGTCAATCGTCTGGGAGCTTGACTCAAAATCAAATGCATACTCAGACTCCTAGGCTTATAGCCAGTGGCATCTTAATACATTATACAGTTGACCTTCAGGGAAAAGGGAACCAATATCCACAGCATGTGTGCCATAAGAGCTAACTAATCTATAAGACACAAAATTAACTTTTTGTCTTCTTTTTTGTTTGTTTTTTTGAGATGGGGTTTCTCTGTGTAACCCTGATTGTCCTGGAACTTGCTCTGTAGACCAGGCTGGTCTCAAACTCACAAAGATCTGCTTGCCTCTGTTTCCTGAGTGCTGGGATTAAAGGTGTGTACCACCACCATTGTCTAAAATAAACTATACTTATGGCAGGAAAAGAAACTATGAGAAAAACAAGTAGTTATAATGGAAACACATATATATAGAAAATATACTACCAAATAAACTGGTTCTTCTATGGCTCTCAGTGCATTGTTTTATGTATGGGATTAAAATAAAACAACACTTTCTTCTGGGTTTTAACCCATTATTTGGTGAATATGCTAGGATATAAGAGGGATAAGCATTTTTATTTGCTTATAGTTAATTTATTATTATTGTGCTTTCATAATGGAGGAGGCACATGCATCATGATGTGTATGAAGGTTAGAGGACAACTTTGTAGACTTGGTTCTCTCCTATTTTTATGTGGGTTCGAACTTAAGATTGCTTAGATAAAGCTTAGCAACAAGTACTTTACCTGTTGAATCATCTTAGCAACCCCCAAGAAATACACATTTTTAAAATTAAAAATAATTTTAAAAAGTATTTTTGGTGATATTAATTAATAAGTATGTGTAGAAGAATGAAAAGAGATACCATTTTAATATCAGTCATCAGCCAGATAGTGGTGGCACAGGCCTTTAATCCCAGCACTGGGGAGGCAGAGGCAGGCTCTCTGTGAATTTGAGGCCAGCCTGGTCTACAAATTGAGTTCCAGGAGAGCTAGGACTACACAGAGGGTTGCTGCTTCAAAAACAAACAAACAAACAAACCAGTCCTCAGTCAGGAAATAGGGAAGGAATTCAGAATTAAAGCGTTAAAATTAAAATAAAGGGTTACTATACTATACATACATACATACATACATACATACATAGTATATATAGTATAGTCTATACTAAATGCTGGAAAAAGTCAATAAAAGGGTGCAGATAAAAAAAAAACTGGGAGGACCTTTGAGCCAAGAAGCACATTCTGTGTGCAGGGCAAATGTCCCACCTGTATCTTTTATGTGCTTATTCTCCACCAGTTTTATTTTTGAGTTAAAAATCAGCAAATATTTTGAACTCATGACTTCATTTAAATGGAAAAATCAAAAGGTTTGTTTACAAAATTAATAAAGTTTTTAAATACCAAAGAAAATACACCAGAGATAAAGAAAAATTGGATTATTCTTTAGTTAGTAAGGAATGCCGCCTTAATCACCAAAGTAATTACAAAGGCCAACTATATAATGTTACAGCATTATTGTATTCTTAAACTTTTAAGCAACAGAAGCTCACATCACCAGAATTCATGGTTGACATGTTTATGGTAGAAGCTTTACAAAGCAGTGCTCGCCGTTTACAAGTATCTTTCACTGCTCATGTGGGTTAGCACAGACAGATCAGAGCTGCTTTCCTGTGGGGTCTTACAAATATTCCACACAAGTCCTTGAGATCATACTCACGGCTTTGGCAAAAACAGCCATGACTTCAGGAAACTGGTGTGTGAGAAAGGCTATCATTGCTGTAGAGGAGCAGAGCCCTGCTGTAAAGTGGATGAAGAAAGGCAGCTCCTTTTTTGGGTAAACAGAAACATGATGAAAAGCTGCAAGGGAAAATTGGTAAGAGTGAGTTTTGTTTCAGCACAAACTAGTTCTAATATTCTTAAATTAAACCTAGCTTTGAAAATTAAAAACCTGGCTAAAAAAATAACAAGAACAAAGGTAAAAGAAAGCTATTCAGTGTATCTGCATAGTGAGATGAGCGTACTGGGGTCTGGGAACAGGGTGGCATCGTGGGAAAGAACATGAACTATAAAGTCATGCTGAGGTGGCTTTGAAAAAGAGCTTTGTCACTTATTAGCTGTGCACTAAACCCTGTAGAAGTTGCTATGGAGTTGTTATGATGAATAGTGTAGGCACTTAATAAATGTGAGTTGTTATTAATTCTTGTACTTTGAAAGCTCAGCAAGTAGTGTAGAGATAAAGAGATAGACATGTCTGTCTTGGGGGATTTCCCAGAACCACTGCTTAATAATTTTATTCAGTTATTACTATGCTCTGTGTGTGGCACTTCACCAAGTGCCATGAAAACAGAGCTAGGAAGCCAAGGCTCTGGCTGTAAATGAAGTTCTTTGCCTTATTTTATCACATTTATACACCTGAGTATTATTTTTCTAGTGTCTGAGAGTCTCATTACCAATTTTATTCAACTACTTATATATTATTCAAAGTACTTGGACAACAATAATCTAGAGCTAAGTCTATTAGAGTGCCCAATGCACAGTAGGTACTCAATAAATTCCTTTTAAACTGAGAGCTATGAGAAGACTTCATTAGTTAGGAAGTTGATTGCTAGGACACCAACCCAGGAATTCCTGATGAATACCCTGCAGCAGTAAGGAATGCCTAATTCCATGCTGAACCAAGGTCAGCTATAAATTTCATTTTTAAAAATGTAACTATTAACAGAGAAGGCGTATACCCAAGTTTCCTTCAATAGTTACAATATTTTATATATCTTATACTATACTCAGGAAGTATATATAAAAAACTAAATTCATTTAGAAAAATTCAGATCTCCAGAGCCTCAAGTCATATTTCATGCAGAAGCACAATGGCTGAGCTTGGTAAAAGCTACAAGCACTAGAAACTGTCAATGTCTCTCTTTCAGCACCTGGAGAGCCAGCCGTCCTTCTGCCCTACCCCTCATCCATGAGAGCTGGACTTCTCCCAGCAAACAGAGAAACAAACTCTGGTATTTCAGAAGGCAGGGAATTAGACAATAAAATTAATTTCAGCTAAACCCTAAAGCACTTTATGGTTTTTAAAGTTCTCATTTAATTGTTGAAATAGCCTGAAGATAGATAGTATTGTTTTCACTTTATAATAGTAAGACTGTACAGCTTTAATAAGAAAACTTCCTAAAATATGAGACTTTTATATTGTAGGAGAGACCTAATTATTTCTTTTTGGATTACTTTCTGTAGCTTCGCTTGTCAGTCAGTGTTTGGCTAATACATCAATATAATGGATGACTGACTAGTACAGAAACACTCCCTTGGAACGAAAGTTCAAATTTCATCACTGGCTTGTAAAGAAAAATTTATCAGGAGGCATAACAGATGACAAAACAGCTATATGAACTAGGGGAATAGTTCAAGTTTCCACTTAGGAGTCTATAAGCAAATTCCAGAAAGCTGTGAGTCATATCAAGGTTGAAGGAGAATTAAAAACAAAAACCATTAAGTACTCCTGGGTATTAGAACTCCACATTATTAAAAATGTGTTCATTCCACCACAGTCAGACACAGAAAAATATACTGTAAGAACATATACTATATACCCTTCCTGTTGTGGCCGCCATCGGAGAGCAGCAGCCATGGCCCTGCGCCATCCCAAGGCCCTGGGCCTCAACAAGGGCCACAAGGTGAAGAATGTCAGAATGTCAGCAAGCCGAGGCACAGCCAGCAGCCTCACTGCGGGCAGGCGCCTCACCACGCACACTAAGTTCGTGCGGGACATGACCCGGGAGGTGTATGGCTTGGTGCCTTACGAGCTGCTAAAGGTATCCAAGGACAAGAGCGCACTCAAGTTTATCAAGAAGAGGGTGGGCACTCACTTCCACGCCAAGAGGAAGCGGGAGGAGCTGAGCAACGTGCTGGCGGTCATGCGGGAGGCAGAGGCCAAGGGCTGATGCCCCCACCCTCAATAAACGTTGCTGCCTGGCCAAAAACAAAAAGAACATCTACTATAATCAAACAAACGCTCCAGCATATCCCTCTATTTGTATGTCCTGGAACTTGCACCATGTATGGAGTTAAGACTTAATGAAAGTCTTATCAAAAGTTTTTTTTGATGAGAAAAAAACCTAACTGGGGGCTGGAGAGATTAGATTGCTCAGTGGTTAAGAGCACTGACTACTCTTCCAGAGGACCCAGGTTTACTTCCCAGCATCCACACGGCATTTCGCAATCATCTGTAACTCCAGGGAATCTGACAAAGTCCTCTTCTGGCCTCTTCAGGCATCGGGCATGCATGAAGACATATATGCAGGCAAACACCCACAAACATAAAAAATAAGATTTTAAAAATATATATATATTTTAAAAACCTCTAACTGTGTGATCTTGCAGCTCCTGGTACTGACCTAAGAAATATTAATATGTGGGCTAGAGAGATGGCTCAGTGGTTAAGAGCACTGACTGTTCTTCCAGAGGACCCAGGTTCAATTCACAGCACCCACATGGCAGCTCACAATGGTCTGTAACTCCAGTTCCAGGGGATCCGAGGCCCTCTTACAGATATACATGCAGGCAAAACACCAATGCATATGAAATGAAAATGAATAAATCATTAAAAATAAATAATAATACTTTTAGTATAAATGGATTATCCTAATACAATAAAAGCCCTTTGTTATTCCATTGTATTTTGAGACAAAACCTTGCTATGTGTAACCCGGGTTGGTCTCAAACTCACAGTCCTCACTCCTCTGCCTCCCAAAGGCTAGGATTATAGGCATGTGCTACCATGCCCAGGTATAATACACTTGTATACTGATTGACTTAAAAATTGATGTCTTTGCCTTAAAAGACTCAGTTCTTTTTTAATTGGAAAAATAATAACTAGAAAAATAATAGTTAAGCCCACCCTAAGCAGGCAAATGCAATTACTCTCACTAATGACCTCCTAATTGCCAAAGTCAATAGATTCTTCTCAGTAATTGCCTTTCCTGGTATCACAGCTACTCCTCCTCACTGGGAAGTTTCTTCTCCTTTAGTTACTAGGATATCTAGTTCTTGTCTCTGACTACTCCTCCACTAAATCTTCACTCACCTTCTTGCCATCGGCTCCTTAGAAAATTTGTGCCCTCTTGATTCTACATCCTCATATGATACAGCGCCCTCCCCATCCCCATAATCTCAGCCTTATAAAGGACTCCTTTGGGTACCTAGAAATGATAACTGCTTAGTCTCTTTTATAACACAGAGAAAGAAATGTGATGTTCCCTGGCAATTTGATTCAAATAACCTGATCTTGTTTTACAGCTAACTGAACTAGGCATGAACACTTAGATAAAATACAAGCTCTCCATGAGTTGCGGGGTTGGTGAGATGGCTTAGTAAAGTGATTGCTGTACAAGCATAAGCACCTGAGTTGGAAGTCCCAGTACCCACAGAAAAACCCAAATGCACCATGCCTATAACTCTAGAGCTAGGAAGTCCCAGTCAGGAAGATCTGTGGTGCTCACTGGCCAGGCAGCCTAGCTGAATCTGAGTCTCAGATGTAGTAAAAGACTTTGATGAAAAAAATAAGAAGGAAAGCCATCAAAGAGGACATCCAGTGTTGATCTCTGGTATCCACATGCACATAACAATGTGAATATATACACCACACACACACACACACACACACACACACACACACACACACACACACTCTGGAGAGATGGGGGTCAGTAGTTATGAGTGTTTGCTGCTCTTGTAGAGGACCTGAGTTCACAGCAGCCACATCAGGCAGCTCAAAGATTCCTGTACTACAACATTCTTTCCTAGCTTCTGTGGGCATCTGCACACACATGTGTACATACACAGACACACAAATAAAAATAACATGAAAAATTTAGGATAGAAAACACTATTATTGTGTCCTTTCAAAAATCTATGTGTTAGAAATTTGGTCCCTTGGGTGGCAATATTATTAAGTGGAACCTTTAAGAGGTCTAGTAGGAAGATCTTGGGCCAACAGAAAGGATTGTGGGAAGCAAGTTTGCCTGCCTTCCTTCCTTCCTTCCTTCCTTCCTTCCTTCCTTCCTTCCTTCCTTCCTTCCTTCCTTTCTCTCCCTCCCTCCCTCCCTCTTTCTAGTTCAAGACAGAATCACTTGCTTATTTGCACATATGCTCCTGCTCTTGCTATGCACTCACTGGCTGATCTGTCAAGGGGAAGCCTCTACTCAGAACCTGAGATTCACCCTGGATACTCCGAACCTCCAAAACCTGAGCTCAATAATCTTACTTCACAAACCCCATGTCATGTATTTCATTATAGTAACAAAAAGGCCACTAATAGAGCATGACCATCTTTAATCTCAGCACTCAAAAGCAGGTAAATGTCTGCGAGTTTAAGGCTTCTGTGGTCTACCTAGTGATTTCCAGGTCAGGGATACATAGTGAGACCCTGTGTCAAAGAAAACAAACACAACAATAAAACAACCCCAACACACACACACACACACACACCACACACACACACACACAGTGAAACTAACAACAAAAAGGTGACTAACACAGAAACCAATATAAAAATAATCTAAATAATTACTTGTAAGTTGAAGAAAACAGAAGTATTTACTTACTAGGCAGTAGCTCTCTATCAGCAGTTTCTGTGCAGCTGGGATAAGGGTAAAATAGATGTCCTTTCTCTAATGGGTATGGAATCATTCTAAAAGCTGAGAGGAAAAATACATTAGCATTCGATTTTATCTCACTCATCTATGCCATAAATCAGACCTACTCTGCAGACATATTTTTGTAGCTTTCTTCTACAAAGCATTTTATCTTCTTTTCTGGGGAGACATTTTAGATGAAAGGAAGTGAACAGAAGAACACGTGGGGGAAGAATGCATGGGGAAAGAATAAGATTTACTAAGAGAACATGGAGTGGTCTAGTCTGAGTCTAAATGGAATGAATGTTAGAAAATAGCATTGGCGCCGGGCGGTGGTGGCGCACGCCTTTAATCCTAGCACTCGGGAGGCAGAGGCAGGCGGATCTCTGTGAGTTCGAGGCCGGGCTGGACCGACAGCCTCCAAAACAATACAGAGAAACCCTGTCTCGTAAAACCAAAAAAATAGCATTGGCTGAGGCCTTCTTTGCCTCAGTCTCCTCATCACAATCATGGACTCAACTCCTATAGGAATCTTCAAGAAATAGGAATGGGTATACTTGTGGCTCTCAAGCTAAAAGAGTTCTTGCTGGCTTCGTACTCCACTTACGAGGCTCATAAAAATCTTCTATAAGAATATACCCACACACATAAAATAATATATTTTTAAAAAATAAAGACTATTCAAATCTGGTTCAGGGATCATGTAAGTCATTATCTGTCCAGCATCACTCACCAATCAGCATCACTCACTAATCACCATCACTCACCAATCAGGACTAACATAAGGAAGGAGATCATTCATCCAGATGCATGAAATGCAGCATAAGCTACACACTTGGGGAACTAGCATAGGACTGAACGTGGGTGTCAGCTGGGAGGTCTGGACAGTCTAAGGGACCACTGGCAGTGGAAACAGTATTTATCCCTAGTGCACAAATGGGCTTTGGGAGCCCATTCCCTATGGAGGGATACTCTCTCAGCCTAGATACAAAGAGGAGGGCCTAGGTCCTGTCCCAGACTTTGTGTCAGACTTTGATGATCCCTCATGGAAGGCCTCACCCTCCCTGGGATGGGGGCGTCAGTGGGGGACATGGGAGGGCAGGAGGGAGAGGGAACTGGGATTGGTATGTAAAATAAGATTGTTTTTAATTTAAATAAAAATTTATTAGAAAAATCTTATAAGCTAAAAGGCATACATTTTCAATTTTTGTCACTACAAATACTCAAATAAAGCAAAATACCCTAATAGTTCCTCATTCTACTTTTCCTAAATGTGGCATCAATATATATTAAATTATTTCTTCTACAAAATATAATGCCACAGAGATCACTTGAAACTAATACAAGTCCTTCTGAAACTCACACAAGCTCACCTTAAAAGACTGCATGTGGATGCAATGAGCATTAAGACAGAGATTGGCATTACATCTGGCAAAGAATACTCACTGCCTTCCCACGTACACTGCAGGAGATTGAGAGCACCTTCTATCCGTTTCCAGTGCTGCAGATGAAAGAAAGCATAGGCAATTGCTTCACTATCTCCTCGCTTCAGAATGTGTTCCGGGGGGTAAAATTAAACTTTTCATCTCTAGTAAGTACTGCAAAAACAACACATCCACACCAAGAAATTAAATTGTGTTAAGTTTAAACATCCACAAAACATTTACTCAAACGTTACAAATTGGTTTAAACACACACACATTAAACTAGTTAAAATAACATGCAGTTCCAAATGAAAACTTGTTTAAAGTGTTTGTTACATTTGCAAATTTCCAAAGTGAGAATTTCCTATAGGTAAAAACAAACTGACAAACAACTTATGTGACCTTGCAAAATACAAAAATAAACTGAGGATATACAAGGAGAGGAAATATTTTCCAAAAAAAATTATAAATAATAAAAAACAGCTTTTTGAAAGAACTTTGTGACACCATTAAATTCTGTTTTCTTTTATTCCCATTTTATTGGTGGAAAACTTAACTGTGGGGTAAAGTCAGTTATTAATATTCACTAAGTACAAGACAGTATGCTCACTAGAGAACACCACACCAAAAAATTCGTAACATGAGAAAAACAGATTTCTTAAGTAAATAATTATAACCAGATTGTGGTGTGGTCCTTATAAAAGTATAAGCAATGGATATATGGGTAAGAAATGCTAATTTTATATTGTTTTTAAAGCAGCTTTGTGCGGAGCAGTGGTGGTGCAAGACTTTAATGCCAGCAGAGACAGAGGTACACAGAGCTACACAGAGAGACCTATCTTGAAAAAAACAAACAAAAAAACAGCTTTCTTGAGCTATAATTCA